GACCTAGAGATCAATGATTCATTTCCCAATGAACAACTCCTTTCGGTGTCGATGAATGATATACCATGGTTTGCCTATGTTGCTAATTTCCTTGTGACTGGTATAATCCCGTGAGAGCTCTCTTCTAACCAAAGGAAGAAGCTCAAGCGGGATAGTTTGGATTTCTATTGGGATGATCCGTACTTGTTCAAGATTTGCACGGATGGTGTGATCCGAAGGTGTCTCCCGGAGGAAGAGCAATTGAGTATCTTGGAGGCTTGTCATTCCTCTCCCTATGGTGACCATCATGGCAGGGCGAGGACGACTTCTAAAGTTCTTAGTTGTGGGTTTTATTGGCCAACTTTTTTCAAAGATGCGGGTGATTTTTTGAAGAGATGCGACGAATACCAAAGAGCGGGTGGAATTTCGAAGAAAGATGAGATGCCTCTCAATACCATTCTTGAGGTTGATATTTTTTATGTATGGGGCATTGATTTCATGGGCCCATTTGTTAGCTCTTGTGGGAACACTTACATTCTTGTGGTGGTTGACTATGTTTCAAAGTGGTTTAAAGTCGTGGCTTTTCCCAATAATGAGGCCCGGAGTTTTGTTACATTTCTCAAGAAGAGCATTTTTACAAGGTTTGGTACTCATCGTGAAATCATAAGTGATGGGGGGTCTCATTTTTGTAATAGAAATTTGACACTTTACTTTCAAAGTATGGTGTTAATCACAAAGTTTCTACCCCCTATCATCCTCAAGCAAGAGGTGAAGTTGAAGTCTCCAATAGGGAAATCAAAAGCATATTGTCAAAGACGGTCAATGCAAATAGGACCGATTGGTCAAAGAAGTTGGATGACGCTCTATGGGCTTATAGGACTGCTTCTACGACTCCGATTGGTATGTCTCCGTATCGGTTGGTGTTTGGGAAAGCTTGCCATATACCGGTTGAGTTAGAGCACAAGGCCATGTGGGCTTTGAGAAAGCTAAATCTTGAGTGGGATGTTGCAGCCAATCTTCGTGTGGAGCAGCTCAATGAACTTGATGAATTCCGATTCCATGCCTACTCCAGTTCGTCCTTGTACAAGGACAAGATGAAGAACCTTCATGATAAATATGCTCGTGGAAAGGATTTCAAAGTAGGTGATTTGGTTCTCTAGTTCAACTCTCGTTTACGTCTGTTTCCGTGAAAGCTCAAGTCAAAATGGAGTGGATCTTTTGAAGTGGTGTGTGTGACCCCGTTTGGTGCTCTTGATTTAAATAACAAAAATGGTGAAGTATTCAGATTTAATAGGCACCGGGTCAAGCATTACTTGGGAAAAATTGATGATAGCTATGTGGTGGCGCTTCTTTATTTCAAATAATGTGATGGTAACCTGCGTCGTGCCACGACGTTAAATCAGGCGCTTCTTGAGAGGCAACCCATGTGTTTTTCTTCTTGTTTTCTTTGATGTTCTTTGTAGTATAGGATTGATTTTTGGGCTAACTAGTTGTGAGATGTTACAAAGTTATGTTGATGCAGTGCAGGACTTAGTGGAAAAAAGTGCCAGGTATCTGAAATTGTTAATGCGGCCGCACTACGTTTAGTGCGGACCGCACTGGTGAGGGTGAAATGTAGATCTCTCTGAAATTTGTCACTACGTCCGCACTATATTTTGTGCGGTCCGCGGTGGACCATTACGGCCGCAGTCCATTTTGTGCGGACCGCAGTGTGTTGCCTCCTCAAGCTTGAAACTAGTTGTGCAGTGCAGACCGCAGTCCATTTTGTGCGGTCCGCACTGGTTGGTGAGACTGGGCCCCAGGTCCTTTTCTATAAATAGGGCCTGAGGCCCTCCTTTTACCCTTTTCGAACCTTTAAATCTCAGAAGCTTTAAGACATTGTTCATCATGTCCCTTGCTTGTAACTAATTGTTTGGACTTGTTATTCTTCATTTCATCTCATATCTGGTACCATTACATTCCTTTTACTTGTTCTCTTTTGTTAATTTCTTTTAATTTCTATTTTTCATGCTTTCCTTTCTCTTCCTCTCATATTTTCTTTTATAGATTAGATTAGGGTAGTTAATATTTGGATTAATATAGACATAGTTAGTTACCTATGCTGGGCAAACACTTAGGGACAGGACTTGGGTGTTAATTAAGCTTAAAATCAAAAATCCATGAACCCTAACTTAGTGCCACGGCTGGGCACTCAGTGAGGACTGCGGTCGTTTATGTGTGGTCCATGGTACCCCTGTGCGATCCGCAGTACCATTTTGTGTGGACCGCACTACTTATTGTTCTGAAAGCTGAACCTTAGGGAATGCGGTCGCACTACATTCTGTGTGGACCGCATTGCCCGTTGTGCGGCCGCACTACATTTTGTGTGGTCCGCATTGCCTAGATACAGAGGGTGGGTGGTCTGAACCCCACCCTTGTGCGGACCACATGGCCATTTTGTACGGTCCTCATTGGCCCCTATGCAGTCGCACACCATTTTGTGCGGTCCGCACTGGGTGAATTCTGCAACATGTCTGAAACTTTTCTCTTCTGTTCTGCAATTCTGTTTCTTGATTGTTGCTACTGATACTAACAAGTTCATTTGGATTGTGTTTGTAGACAATGGTGAAACAATGAGGTAAAGGATATAAACAGCCTGGCAGAGGTGAATCCTCCTGGGGAGGGAAGCAGAAAATGATAAAACACTCTCCTCAAGCCAGGCAAAACATTAAAAACACTAGAAAGTTGATAAGAGCAGCTAACAGAGCAATTGACATGTCGGGGAGTGAGTACGAGCCTTCCTGGGAGATTTCTTCAGATTCAGTACCAACACATATCCCTGACTGGCCAGAGAGTTATAGACTAAGAGATACACCTCCAACATCCCCCACTGCCCAAGCATCAGTGAACATTTCTTTTGGGTCATCTGAGGGCTCAGGTGAAGGTAGTGGGGAATACTCCACCTCTCCCACAGCTTCATTATCTGGAGAGGGTGCAGTAGGCGATGAAGAGGAAGTAGGGGGAGAAGAAGTAGGAGAAGGAGGTGAACCATAGGTGAGGGGTATTGCTAGAACTAGGAAGCCAGAGATGTGGCAGGACCGGTTCGTTAGTGAAGTAGCATACCACAAATTTTGGGAATGGTGGCCGGTGAGGAAGTTGATCCCAGAGAGGAGTTTCATAGATAGAGATTTACTACCTCACAACCCCAATGTGAGGAGACAATTTAAGGAGAGAGTCAGATGGGAATACTTTTGGGGGGACTGTGTGGATGCAAATGAGCACTTGGTCAAAGAATTCTACACCAACGTTGTCTACATCAAAAAGGGCACTAAGGTGACCAAGGTGCAGAATTTGAAGGTGTTGTTTAATGGGAAGACAATCAATGATTACCTCGGCTTTGATGAGGAGGATGAGTCCCTGTACATGGCGGAGATGGAATTGGGTGAAGAGATCCGTCCCTGGCAAGCACAATACCTGGAAATCCCAGGTACCACCCCCGACTGGTTGACTGTTGGAGTCAAAATTCTTAGGCGTAGTATGAATTTTGAGGCAAGGGGGTGGGAAACATTCGTATGTAGTAGGTTGGATCCCACGTCTCATGAAAACTCCCTCCCTCTCCACCGGGCAGTATTAGTGGATTCAATTATGCCGAGGTACCCAACCAATGTGGGAAATGTGATGTCACAGATAATTACTATTGTGGGTGCCGAGCATGACAGAAACTACCCATTCCCCAGTTTTCTCACTATGTACTTCCGGGATCTGAAAGTGAAAAAGAGGCCCTTCGAGTACAGTTACTTCTCCAACTGGCCAGTCTGAAAAGCCAGTTGTGGTAGTGACTCCTGCTGAGCCTGCCTCTACTTCCACTACTATCCCTCTTGGTCCATCCACCTCAGCAGACCCGGAGATTCCATCTTCCCGTGCTCATCCTATTACTACCCACCGACTGAGCCAAGCACTTCTTAGTATCAACAATTGGATGCAGACTTCCCTATCCAAGTTGTCCACCCTCACTACCATGGTAGAGGCTCAGTCGGCACCTCTACCCTACAGGTTCCCCAATCGATAGAGGATGCTCTTAAAGAGATTTAGACAACTAGAAGAAAATCCTCGACACTCAGAATGTACTGACTGATGCAGTTGATTCACATAGCAAGGCTCTCAAAGAGCTTGCTAGGAAGCATAAGAAGCTGAGGAAGACACGGGCCTCCAAGGAGTCCGTGAAGGAGTTGAGAGCTGATGTTGACAGACTGAAGGCAGATCAGTTGCCTTTAGACTTACTGCTCTAGGACCTAGTACCCGTAGCTCATTCCCAGCTAGAGCAGTCACATAGGCCTCCCAAGAGGAAGAGGATAATTCCCAGAGCTGACGATGCAGTCATCCAGCTGGCAGACCTACATGAGACCTCCTCCAGTCAGCCACAGGGTGCACCACCTCCGGAGCTTGTCCAGGCCCAAGTCCCAGCAATAGTAGAGCAGCAGGCCACCGGGAACTAGGGCTGTTCATGGATCGGATCGGATCGGATTTAGCATATTTCGGATTGAAATTTCGGATTTCAGATTCCATAAATTGCAATCCGAATCCGATCCGAATTATATCAGATTGGATCGGATTTTTAAAGTTCGGATCGGTTTGGTGATCGGATTTTCGGATCGGATTGTATGTATTATTAAGGAGTGTGTATAACTGTATATGGATAATGGATGTTACATAATACAATAGCATTTAAAAGAACAAAAATAGCAAACAAATGACTATAAATTACAGTACCTCAAGATTTTACTTTTGGCTTCATTCCAATTAATAAATATGTTACTAATGTCTAATAGTATAGTATTGTCATAAGCATAGCAGAAGCATAGCTAACAGTTACAAGAGCAGAAGCATAACACAAGTCCCTGGAATAACTGTGGTACTTTGCAAAAGCATAGCAAAAGAATTTCAAGTTCTACTGATCATTCTCATTCAATCCAGATTCTTTTACGAACCAAAATGGAAGAAACACAAGAGCAGAAGCATAGGTAACAGTTCAAGAGAAGGTAATAATTCAACAGTTCAACATGTCCATAAACAAAACACAATCTTCAGAATAAAACAAAATTAACTAAAATCCCAAATAGCTGTCTAATCACTAATGAACTGAAATCCTCAACCAGAATTCCTTAATGCAGCAGCCTTAAGTTCTGGCACACCTGGCACACTGGAACTGAAATCCTCAACCTGGCACACTTTCAAGTTCTGCAATACTACACTTGTCAAAAATGAGAGAATCAGTAAATGTGTATCATGTCAAGTTGGGCAGCCTGTGCAGCAGCCTAATGCAGCAGCTTGACTGCTTGGTGGTAGAACAAAACAATACAATAGAGAAGGCTTAATGCAGCAGCTTGGTTCAATTTATTAGAAGGCTTAAGAAAAATTTAACATGCCACGAACTCGTACCTTTTATATGTCGACGATGCAAGGCTCTCTTCCGGTATTAATCAAGTCTGTAGAATAAGATAGTAATAGAATAAATTAGTTTAAAAATAATCTAAAGAAACATAACATAAGTATACATTAAACACAAGTAAAGTAATAGAAGAAATAAGATAGTCTTACCCGCTTCAAGTTGTTCAAGATTATTTAAATCTTCTTCAATTTTAACCGGAGTTGTTGATTCATTCCGAAGCCAATCTTGGACACACACAAGAGCTTGAACCAATATAGGTGTCAATGAACTCCTAAACGGATCAAGTATGCGTCCACCGGTACTAAAGACTGATTCTGAGGCAACACTAGAAATAGGAATGGCTAGCACATCACGTGCCATCTCAGCAAGTGCGGGAAATCTGGGTGAATTCAACTTCCACCACCCCAGAATTTTAAAATTTTCAAAGTCTTCCTCAACATCTTCACCCAAATATTTATCTAACTCTGTTTTAGAATCAATTCCTTCACCCTTCTTATGCTTCTTTAAATCTAACATGAATTTTGAAAGCGATGATGAAGAAGTAGATGAAGTTGGAGAAGATGGACATGAACTAGGGGAAGATGGAGAAGATGGACATGAACCGGAAGATGGAGAATATGGAAATGAACCAGAACCACCATTCTTCTTTGCATACACATTGAACAAAGATTCCATGTATGTCTTCACCTCAATTTGTATTTTCACACCTATTGTTTCTCCAAACATGGCAGCAAGAGCAAACGAAAGAGATTGAAACTTGTGGCGTGGATCGAACACACATGAAATAAAAATCATTTTGTTCATCTTTTGTGGATCCCCCCAATACTTATCAAACTTCTCTTTCATATTATTTGCCATTTCTTTCAAGGTAGCATCTTCACTTTGCATCAACTCTTTCAAAGAAGAACCAACAACACATATCTCAAGAAAGTGCACATTAGACGTAATATAAAGTGTACCTGATACCTTCAAGGTGAGTTCATAAAATATTTCAAGAAACTTCACAATACGACTTACACTATCCTAATCAGTACTTAAAAGTGGACCTGCAGGATGTCCATCCTCACAAATATAATTAGAAATACATGAAATCAAACCATAATCAATATCACAATATTTTGTAAAGGCTTCCTCATAAACTGTAGCAACCTTCAACATCAAATATGTGGAGTTCCACCTAGTAGGAACATCCAAGCACAATGATTTTTTAGAAGTTATCCTATCTAGATCACAACATTCTTTAAACTTCTTCCATCTTGCTGGAGATTGTCTAATGTACCTAACAGCTTGTCTTATTCGTTCCACAGACACACTCCCTTCTCTTAACCCATCTTGAACAACTAGATTGATGATGTGAGCCATACATCTAACATGAACATGCTTACCTTCCATCAAGTTAGTGTTCCATCTAGTAAATTGTTTGGATAATTCTTTAACCATGACATCGTTAGAACTTGCATTATCAACTGTCACAGTAAATACTTTATCCATCCCCCATTGAAGTAAACACTTAGCAACACCACTAGCTAAATATTGACCTTTATGACTAGTAATTGGACAAAAATTTAATATCTTTTTATGCAAATTCCAATTCTTGTCAATGTAATGTGCTGTAACACACATATAGTTAATTCTTTGAATTGATGTCCATGTATCAGTCGTAATACAAATTCTCTGTTTTGATTCTTTAAAAATTGACTTCAAAGCAAGTTTTTCATCATGGTAAATCTCAAAACAATCTCTAGTCATAGTAGTACGAGATGGAATATGAAATAAAGGTTGAAGAGCTCTCACGAAGTCTCTAAATCCATC